AAAGATTTGTTCCCTCTTTTGAGCTACTACATCCATAAGTATAGGTCAAATTCATCAAATTGTAGTTGATTACTCTTTTTTTCCTCTTCTTTCTTCCTCTAGTCGAGTTCTGGTCATCCAGCCATTGAAGCCGGGTCAAGTGGGTACTATCTGCAAGTGTGGGTGTTCTTGTGCATCTCCCCTCACTTCTTATCAGCTGGACGCTTCACTCTCCACTCTAGTCCTCTGTGGCCATGTCCCTGCCTTGGCTTGAACTCACCTTCACATGACTGTCTTCCCTCTGTGTGCCTCTGTCTCTGTATCTCTTCTCCCCGTCATATAAGGACACTAGTCATATTTGATAAAGGCCCATCTTACTTTGTTATAACCTCATGTTAATGTCACTGATTACATCTCCACAGATCTTATTTTCTAATAGGGTCACATTCACAGGCACTGGAAGTTAGGACTTGCACATATCTTTGTTCAAGTCCTTAACCTCCAGTACCTGTGAATGTGATTTGGACACAATGACTTGGACTCAAATCAGTTGATATCACACAGTTTGCTGCCTTAAGGTTACATAAGCTTACAATTACACAACTTGAGAGAATAAATATAAATAATCTTCCTAACAATTCCTCCTCCTTTAGTGATTGCTAAACCTGGGTGAAGGCGTGGGCCACTTTATTATGGAAATTAGCAGCTGCCAATGATCACAGATTAGAATTGTATTAAGATGCCAAAGTTCTTTCACTCTGGTGTGGTGCTATAGGGTCAGCACTAGACTGCAAATTATAAGGTCAGTGGTTCAAATCCACCAGCTGCTCCTTGGAAGCCCTATACAGGGTCACTATGAATTGGAATCTACTTGACACTACTTAACACCAAACAAGAACAATGAAATGTTACATGAACATTTGAATCAATGTCCTGACGTGCACCACCAGCAATTGAAATAGCTAGAGTTCTTTGAAACTAGATTACTAACTCTAGTGGAGTCCTCGTGTGGTGCTATAGGATAAGCACAAAGTTGGTTTGAACCGAAAGGTTGGCAGTTCAAACTCATCAGCCACTCCTCAGAAACCCTATACAGGGTTGAGATGAGTTGGAACCAACTTATTGGCACTTAACAGCAACAACGGTGTCAGATTACCCTATAAGCAAGGTAAACATGGGCTTTCTTGTACTTATTAATCTGTAGTGAACAACTTCACGTTTTTTACCACACTGAAGATTCTCCTTCTAGGCATGGCTGCCATCTCTCTTTCTTCCAACCCCATATTGCCTTTCTATAGAATTAAGGTACCTATTCAAATTTATAATCCCTGACAGAGATGAAATACCTAGGAAACAAGGTGAACTCAGGCTTACTTGTTCTTACATGTGAAACTGTTCGCTACAGATTAGTAAGGACAAGTAAGCTTGTGCTTAGCTTGTTTATTGACTCATCTGCCTTGCTTAACCTCTTAAAAAGAATAAAAAGGATGAACTATAAAAAGTGGAAGGTTATTACATAAATAAACAAAAAAGTTACATTAGCCATCAAAACAGTCAAGAGGGGTCAGTGTACTACTGCTGAGGGTAACCTTGATATAGATTAAAAAAACAACCCACCACTGCCCTTGCACTGCTAAATAAACCCAGTATTGAGTCAGATCTCTCCCTCTTCTGCCAAAGTGCTAGTCAATAGTCTTACTTCATTTTCAATTGGTGTTTTGACTGTACCTTTATGGGTCTTCTGAGTTGGCCCATATTTAGGAGTGATGTCTACTCACCAGTTCCTAATATGGAGTCCTTGTGTGGCACTGAAGAATAATGCTGTGGACTGCAAGGTCAGTGGTTCAAGTTCACCAGGTTCTCCTCAGAAACCCTAAGCAGGGTCGCTATGGGTCAGAAATGACTTGATGGCACTTAACAACAATATGATCTTGACAAGTTTTAGGGACTCTGATGACCTTTTTTTCAGAATAAAACGGAAGCACCAGGCTTTACAAGTCACCAGCTGAGGGTCAAAAAGAGAACAACTACAATACACCATACCTTAAGTTTAGAAAGAAACATCAATGGGCTCTTTTAGAGCGTAAGTGAAACTCACTCCGTTATTTTGGATCCCCTTGCCTACTGCTGAAGGGATTGTTTGGATTCTGTATGGGTAGACCATGACAACCAAGAGAATGGTTACCTACTTTGCTATGAGTCTCCCTGGGTATACATAAGACCTTGGAGAAGGGGTGGATCAGTATGAGCACTAATTTGTATATTGCCCCCATGTAACTATGATACTTAATACAGGGTAAAGTAGGGAAGAACTTGAATGTTGAAAATCCACACGTTTGGATGTTCTCCTTTTGTGTAGTATGAAATGCTCCATGTCACACCACCAATGGGCCCTCCAGATGTCATCAAGACGAGTCCCATGGCTGATGCTGCTGGCTGGCTGGATGTGGATAAAGAAACACTGCAGCACAAGAGATACCCTAATGTGTTCGGGATTGGGGACTGCACCAACCTTCCTACGTCAAAGACTGCTGCCGCAGTGGGTAAGATGAAAGGTTGCATTTCTCCCCTTCTCAAAATGATGTCACCCAAAACACTGTCGTAACTAAACCATATTGGACACTGGCAGTGTTCTATTAACAATAAAGAAATGTTTCTGAAGCATTTCAAAATGTTTCTAAAAATGAGTGATCTCCCTGACCCAGATGTGAGCTGCCAATGAATCTTGGTGGTGGTGGTGTTGTTACGTGCCATTGAATCGGTTCCGACTCATGGTGAGCCTGTATGGGGTTTCCGATGAATGACTAGTGAATTTGAACCACTGACCTTGCAGTTCAAACTGACCTTGTGGTCCAGTGCTTTATCCCCCAGCACCACACCAGGACTCCTAGTGCCGTCTAAGGAAGAAAGCATCCTTTCAGCGCTGTATACCAAAGTAATGAACTTATCAGCTTTGCTAAGTCAGAGGGGTTGTTTTCAAGCGGAAGGGGCATTAGAGGAAGGGTATCACATTTCCAGCTCTTTGGAGTTCTGCTACTTCTCATACTACCATGTTCACAAAAGTGGCATTCTTTTACCCCATGATGTTGGGCAGGTTGACTCTTTTTCTTCTGTCTGGACCACCATAAAGCAAAGGAAGCATTTGTTTCCCCAGAAAACACATGCAAGTCAGTGAAAGCTTGTGGACCAGAAAATTGTTCTGTTAAGACAAATATAGCAGAGCATGCTCTGATTGGTACACAATAAAGGCCTCATGCTGAAAACCAAATTCTTAGCCTGATTGTTCTGCACTAGCAGTGATGGGGAGAAATGCCTTTTAGATTGTGTCTTCTGCAGAGAGGAACTATCTCCTCTGAACACCATAGAACATGGACTTCCCTGTTGATGGGCCTGGGAGTGTTCTGTGTGAATTATTTACCTATGGAATGTGTTCTTTTACCTTCACTATTTCAATTGAGGAAAGACCCTGGATGTCTTTTTTATTATGAATAGCAATTCACTTCAATACACTATCCCAAATATCAGAAAATTGGGAAAGAAAGTGCAGTGAATTCTCGAGTTGTTGTTAGTTACCATCGAGTCCATTCTGATTCACGGGGACCCATTTGTGTTGCACATTCTGCTCCGTTGCCTGTAGGTTCTTTGAACTGCCAATCTTTAAGTTAGTAGTTTCATGCTTGTCGGGGTTTTCCCTCGACATAGTTGTCACGAGTGTTTGGTTCACGAGGAGGGGAGATCCAGCGGCGATAGGGATAGTGAAAGAATACACAGACAAACAGAAGAAGGGAGACAATGAGGCACCCCAAAGCCAGGGTGGATACATCACTGGTGGGCAGGCTTGGGACTACAGGCATCATGGCCTCTGCAGGCAGCAACTCACTGCCCTGCAATCTTTACTGCATGCCTTCCAACCCGTAATGCACTGCTATCTTTACTCCATGCCTTCCAACCAGTGATGCACACCTGGGGAGGCCCGGGCCTCTGCTTTATTTAGGGGAGGAGTTTCACACCAAGCTGGGAGGGACTTAGGCAAGGTACAGCTAACATCAGTACTTTTCCAGACATTCAGGTAACTTTACATCATATTTCACTGGTTCGAATCCCAGGCCAGCAACTTGGATTCTCAGGCCCAATTAACATATCTATAGCCCCTGAGGTCAGTTGGGGGAAGGTGAGAGTTCTGCAGGAGACGCCCAGGTGAATGGGCTGCACCTGGAAAAGGGATTAGGGAGGATGGGTTCTTTGTCTATAGAACAAAGAACCGAGAAGTAGCTAAAATATTTTTAGTTAATCCTTTTGGAGAAAGGCTTGACCTTGCAACCTTTAGTCTTAGGCTTTAGGAAAATATCACATTTATCTGTGGATTCTCAAAGGCTCCGTGTATTAATTTAATATATAAAATGAAAGCAATTTGCCATAAACTGCCAGTGGCCTCATTTGTTACATTCGGGCCTATAGGGCCTCGAACCTCTGACCAGTCTTACATGGTCCGCAACACATGCTTAATCATTTGTGGCACCCATGGACTCCTAATGCCAATCTTGTTGCTGTTGGTAGAGTCAGTTCCGACCCATAGCGACCCTGTATAGGGTTTCCAAGGAGCAGCTAGTGAGCTTGAACCACTGACCTTGCAGTTCAAGTTGACTTCGCAGTCTGGCACATTAACCCACAGAGCCACACCAGGACTCCAATACCAATCTACCCTTGAGATAGTAACCAACTATTACTATTTTGTGACATTTTCTGCATCTTGTTATTAATTTAACTACTTTTTTTTGCTCAGACACGTGAAAGTAAGTTTAGATATCATGATACTTCATCTCCCTTAAATAGTCAACTTTTATCTCCTAAGAAAAACAACATAAGATTGTTATCACTCACAAGGAATTGAGCACCGTATAATAAAGTCATCTCATATACATTTCAGTTTGAGCTTCTCCAGTTTTCCTAAGAATACTTTTTATAGCCCTTTCTCCCTTATCTCTAGGAGCTAATCTAGGACTGCATATTGCATTGCTAGTCACATTTCTTTTAATCTAGGATAGTCTTCCTGATTTATTTTCCATGACACTGGCATTTTTGAAGGTGTGGATCAGTTATTTTGTATAATATCCCACAATTTGGGATTGTCTAGTTGTTTGCTCCATGGTTAAGCACTTGGCTGCTCACCCAAAGGTTGGTGGTTTGAATCTACCAGCGACTTCTAGGAGGAAAAAGACTTGGGATCTGCTTTTGTAAAGATTTACAGCCTAGGAAACCCATTGCGGCAGCTGTACTCTGTCACATGGGGTTTCTAGGAATCGAAATTGACACGAAGGCACCTAACAACAACAACAACAGCAGCAGTTGTTTGCTGAAGTCCCAGTTAGGCTATCTAGCTATCCATTCCTAGGTGTTGTTGGCACCTCCCACTGCGTCATCTCAGAACCCATGGAGTTACTTTATCCCATCATTGGTGAAGCTAGATTTCATCATTGGGTCTAGGCAGGGCTGGGGGTGGGATGTACCAGTTCTCTCCATCATAAAACTGCCTTTTCTCGTTGCAATTTATAGGTTGTGTGGGGGTGGGGGGGGAGGGTGGTGGTACTTTGAATACTTTACATTTCAACCAATGTAAACCTGCTGAATATATGTGGTGAAAATGCCTGTGATATCTGTGAGGCCCAATTACCCAGTCTTTGTCATTGTTGTTAGGTGCTATTGAGTAGGTTCCCGACTCATAGCAACCCCGGGTACAGTGGTTTGAAACCTTGCCTGCTCCCAAGCCATCCTCACAATCACTGCTCTGTTTGAGTTCAGTTTTGTAGCCACTATGTCAATCCATCTTATTGAAAGTCTTCCTCTTTCTTGCTAACCTTGGACTTTACCAAGCATGGTGTCCTTTAGCCTATTAAAAAAACCCCGAACTCAAAAACCAATGAAATGTTTTGTTCTATGTTTTGACTATATAATATTAAATGTTAGACAAAATGTTATAAGGGAAGAGTCTTGCTCCCAGCCCTGCCTTCCATCTGCCCAAAGTCTGCATTACCCACCACTTTTATTTCTTCTTGAACTTTCCAGAGTTTCTTTCTCCAAACACCAGCAAATAAGAAAAGCATTCCTGTTTCCTCTCTTTTTATACAAAATGGAGCAGACTATATTCACTGTTTTGCCTGTTATGTTTTTTACCTAGTATATCTCAGGACAGAGAGCATCCACATTGTTTTTTACATCTGTATTTTACAATCTCTAGTCTATTGCCTGTTGTTGTTGTCAAGTGCCATTGAGTTGGTGCTGACTCATAGCGACCCTGTATAGGGTTTCTGAGGAGCACCTGGTGATTTTGACCTGTGGACCTTGTGATTTGCAGTACAGTGCTTATCCTATAGTGTCATACCAGTGTGATTGTTTGCTAATTTAATTAACAAGTGCACTTTTAATTTGTGCTTGGGTTGTTTCCAAAACCATTGTTATTTCAAACAAGAGTCCTGTGAATACTCTTCTTTATATAGCACTGTCTTTCATTTCTTAACACCCTCCCCCAATGGCTTCCTGCAGGAAGTCTCTCACTTTTCACTCTTGATTCCCTGACCAATCCTTTGAGTATCTGAAGGAAATGTGCCTGCACTTATTCCCCAGATTTGCCCTTGGCAATTAGGTAAATTGTCTTACTGCACTCCAGACCACCCTGCTACTTACTGTAAGATCCTGCCTCGCCATGCTGAATCTGGCTTTCTTGGTTGCCCGTTTCTTCTTCTGTTTCTCTTTGTTCCAGGATTCTCCCTGAATTGACCACAGTACAATGAAGACCAGAATGTGATACTTAACAAAAATTAACTGAAGGCTTGAACATAACAGAAATCAACCAACCAATTGTCATTGAGTTGCCTCTGCCCCATGGCAACTCTATGAGTGTCAGAGAGAACTATGCTGTAAGCTTTTTCAGAGGCTGACTTTTCAAAAGTAGATCATCCGACTTTCTTCTGAGGTGTCTTTGAATAGACTCCAACCTCCAAACTTTCGGTTAACAATCAAACACTGAACCAAGGAAACTCAGGGCATAACAGAAGGGGTTGTAATGCTGAGAAAAACAGCTTATTCCCACCTCTACACACACACACACACACACACACACACACACACACACACATTGAGTGTGATCGTTTCTGAGGTCCACTTTCTTCAGGTCACTCTCTGCTTTCCCTGGCCTTGATACTCTGTGGCAGAGGCCTCCTTGATTCTTCCCAATACAAATGCCAAACCATGTAATTTCCTAAAAAGGAACAAAGCTTCCAAAAAGGGAAATACTAGCATTAGAGAAATTGCTTTGTTTGTAATGAAGATAGTCATTTTTTAAAAAGATTTTTTTTATTGTGAATTGAGTGATAGTTTACATGGGAGGCCATTAGTTTTACACTTGTTGTTTCAATGCAATGATTACTGTCTCCTCTGTGTATCATCATTCAATAGTATTTGCTTCTATGCCCACTGTTTTCTTGTTTTTTTTTTTTTTTGGATATACACAAAAATACTGAGGAATAGATAATGATTTAAACAGCCAAAAGGCACATTCTGCAAGCTTGCCTCCTGGCCGCCAGCACACAGCCTTTCTCTTTTCATGAGTCTAAAGTCCTCAGCTGCTCTATTATTCCATGTCTTCATCTCTGGTGTCGCTGCTTCTCTGGATAGGATCCCACATTCTACTAGTGCTACAAAGATAGCCATTTAAGAGTTATTTACATTTTGTTTTATGAACACCATCATTCCAGAAAAAGATTCACTGCTCTTTTGATTTGGGGCCAGCGACAGTATACTAAAGCCTTGCCAATACAACCCTGGCTTCCTGTTTTCATATGAGCCTGCTAAGAGAGGTAGATGAACAGGAGTATTTAATCAATGGCAGGGAGCACGAAGTCTGAGCCCCATTAAGTGAAATGTTATCCTAAGAAGAATAATTCTGTTCTTCTCAGTAGTACATATATATTTTAAAAAGCACAATAAATTCTGTTTTGAACTTTGTCAATGTTTTTGTGAGTATTTATTTTCTATCTTGTTATATAATACTTTGATTTTTGCCTCTTGGTCCACAAAGCCTAAAATACTTCTTATCTGGCTGTTTACAGGAAAAAAATTGCCAACCTCTGATTTGGGGGATTAAAAATAACCACTTTAATGAGCATTATGTAATATAAAGATAGCCGATTTTTCTTCAAAAATCAATCCAGTTTTCTACCTTTAGAGAACCAAACTGCTTGTATCATTAAAAGGGTAGTTTTAATTAGTCAAAACTGAATATGAACTGACTGGGATTAGATGATATTAAAGAATTGTTGTTAATATTTTTGGGTGTCATAATACGTTTTATGTTAAAAAATTCCTCATCTGTCAGACACACAGAGAAATATTTATGGATGAAATGCTATGATGTCTGCTCTAAACATACTCTAGAAAACAAAAATGTGTAGGTTGAGATCTATGGTTGAATGACAGGGTTCATTTGTTAGATTTATATTTTTTCAAAAGAAATAAGATAGTCTCCCCCACTGTTGCATAAAATTATATTTTTATATATGTATATAGAGTTCTGGTGTGGCACTGTAGGATAAACACTGGACTGCTAACTGTCAAGTTGGTGGTTCAAACCTACCAGCTGCTCCTTAAAAATCCAATGAAGGGTCCCTATGAGGCAGAACCGATAGCACTTATCAACAACAACAAGTGTCAGCCAGGGCACCTGATTATGGATGAAAGCCGGATTAGTTATACTGGGCCTTCTAATCTTCTCTGCCTATGTATGAACAGGGACACAGGCACATCCTGAATGGTCACGGCCGATGGCACACAGACAGCTCACTGACCTCCAGGAGGAAGGGGAGAGGGCTGAGGGCAGGGCTACTCCTATTTAAAATTCTTGTTGGAAATTGCTAGAAGTTTTACATGAGCTTTTTGAAACTGTGGAGCAGAAGAGAAGCTTCAAGTAGTAAGAAGAGTCATGCTCTCATTACAACCTAGAGGGATGGGACATGGAACCTTCTTAACCTGTTCAAATTAAAATTATTTGCTCATTATTTTCCATGGAAAACCTAGATGCCTGGATCTTTCTGACTTTATCATTTCTGTTACAGCTGCTCAGTCAGGAATACTTGACCAAACAATTTCTCTGATTATGAAGAACCAAATACCAATGAAGAAGGTATGTGTGCCTTGTACAGATCATTTTTTTAACAATCCCCTTCCATTTAGCATTTTTTTTTATCATGCCTTTTCTACTTCCTTACTTAGTTTCTCTAATATGGATACTTCAACTTTTGCCTTTATCACATATTTTGTTGTTATATAATTTATCTATTTCACTGAACAAAAATTAGAATGCACAAAAAAGGTAAAAAAAAAACCCAAACCCCAATACAAATCTGGAATCACTCAGAGCAAATAATGGGTTTTAAAGAGGTGCTGTAGGGTAAGTATTGGACAGTTAACCTAGTTAACCACTAGGTTAGCAGTTCAACCCCACCAGCTGCTCATTGAAAATCCTATACAGGGTTGCTATGAGAACCTACTCGACAGCACACAAGAACACCACCACCAACATATAATAATATGGAAAAGTGTACTTTAAAACTCAGTCTCATTTTTTATTTTAGTATGACGGCTATACATCGTGCCCACTGGTGACTGGCTACAACCGTGTGATTCTTGCAGAGTTTGACTACAACGCTCAGCCTCTGGAAACATTCCCCTTTGACCAGAGCAAAGAGCGTCTTTCTATGTACCTCATGAAGGCCGACATGATGCCTTTCCTCTATTGGAATATGATGCTCAGGTAAGTGCATCTTGTAACCCCAAAGGCATATCTTCTAGCATACTGCACCAACTTATGCAGTGTAATATTTTCAAGGAAGCTTTCAATCTTCTGGAGAAATCACTAAAAGCAGGACTGGCTAATGGGATCCACTTTGCTGTACCATTTCTCATGGGTTAGTGATGGTGGACTGTGAAGGATTCCACAGCCTCCGCCAGGCTCAGAGGGAAAGGAGGCTGGCCTGTAGCTTGTCTACTACTGTACAGGATGTAACTTCTTTTCCACAGTATGAACAGTGACTCAAAACCCAAGAGTACTGTCTGCTACTCTCCTCTCTGGCTATCTTTGCTGCTGGATAATTAATAAAAGTAATAATAAACAAATTGTTGTTGCTAATTGCCATTGAGTCAGTTTTGACCCATAGCAACCCTATATAGAGTTTCCAAGGAGCGGCTAGTGAGCTTGAACCGCTTACCTTGTGATTCAATCTGACCTTGCAGTCTAGCGCATTAACTCACAGTGTCTCACCAGGACTAGACAGGGTTGCTTTAAGTCGGAACTGACTCCACGTCACTTAACAACAACAGCAACAATGGGACATTTGGGAGTTCGGTGGCTTCATAGGATAAGCACGGGACTGTGAATTACAGGATTGTTGGTTCAAGCCCACTAACTATTCCTTGGGAGTAAGATGGGAATTTCTGCTCCTGCAAAGATTTTAAACCTCAGAAACTCTATACAGAGTCACTATGAGTCAGAACCAACTCAAAGGCACTTAACAACAACAGGGACCATTTGGTGATGTCTATGGAGTCTGGGTGTGGTGCTGCAGAATATTGTACTGGACTGTAAGGTCAGTTTGAACCGCAAGGTCGGTGGTTCAAACCTACTAGCTGCTCCTCGGAAACTCTATAAACAGGGTTTCTATGAGTTGGAGCCAACTTGATGGCACTTAACAACAATTGAGAAATTTTTGGAGTCCTGGTATGTCATTGTAGGATAAGCGCTGGACTGTTAACCATAAATTGGAGGTTCAAGCTCACAAACTGCTCCTCAGAAACCTTACACAATATTACTTGAGTCAGAACCAACTTGAGGGCATTTAATACAACAGAGATATTTTTGGTTGTCACAATTAGGGAGTACTTCTAGCATCTGGTGAGCAGAAGCTCTTGGTGCAGCTAAACATATGCAATGCACAGAGAAGACCCTCGAACAAAGAACTATCTTCCACAAAATGTCAAGACGGCTGAGGTTAAGAAACCCTAACCTACGTTCACAGAGCAAGTGAAAACAGAATGGATAGCAGTTGATGTGTAGTGCAGGCTCAGCACAGGTTTGCTGGATTGTGTCTGTGTGTCCAGATTCACACAAATCAGTGTCAGAGTGACAACTAGCAGCATGCATTCCTCCTAGCCATGGGACCTCTTTATCTCATAGACAGAGCTTGACCTATGTGCAGATGACTGTGTTGTGTGAGCAGCCTGGCTTCCCTTTCAACATCCTTCTGGCTAAAGTCATCTCATCTTTTTTGTTGCAAATATTTTTCTGTGTCATTTCTTCCAGGGGATACTGGGGAGGACCAGCCTTTCTGCGGAAGTTGTTCCATCTGGGTATGAGTTAAGGATGGCTCAAATCTTGCTCCCCTTGGATGGCATCTGGACCAAAAGCACACTCACCAATTGACCAAGAGTAGCACGAAGGACTTGGAACCTTACCCTGCAAAGAGTTTACTCTGGACAATGGTGACCAGATGCCTCCTTTATCAGTGTCTCTACACAGCCACCATGTGGACTGCCCAGGAGGCACTTGATTCTTTGGAAGCACTCAAGTAAAAAAGCAGACTTCTATTTTCTGAATAAAAGTTTGTCGTTGATTGAGATTCTATGAGAAAATGTTATCTTGACTTGCAGGGGTTAAAATTTATAACACTTGGGAGAATAAGAGGGTGGTAATGGAATAACTTGTTATCTATTGTTGGTTTGCAATGAGCAGTTGCTATACTTTCACCAAAGCCAGACTGGAGACACAGTAAACTAAGAATCATTCCCAGGATGGTACAGCTTCAAGCACAGTACATGGCAGCCTTGAGCGTGTGCTGTTAGAAATGCAGCTTCAGGGAGCATAGCTGATCCAGAAGACAGCTGTCGCCCCTCTGGTACTTATGTGGAGGTCACACTTTCTTGGGGCTGCTCCCAACCAGTGTCTGAACACACTGGACTACTAATGTTGGTCAATCTCTGTGGGATGTGAGATTCTCTACAAGGAAGTTCGGCCTCAGGACTCTCCATCAGTCTGGCTAAAACTGTCTTGGATCTGGGCTGAGTCTGAGGCTCTTCCTACCCATTCCTCCTGCCTTTCCCTCTCCTTTCACAGGTATCCAACCTGGGTTCCTGTCTGAAGGCTCATCCCTGCCCTACCTGCTCCTGCCCCTTCTCCTTTGTCTCTCACAAGAATTTCTCTAATAAATCCCATGCAGCTTGAATTCTGTTATATCTCTTACTTGATGGTCTGAACTAACACACATTGAAAACAGGATTTGAAGGATCCTCATGTATGTGGCAAGTATTTGCTCAATTTAGTTCCAATTTGGGCCAATAAAATTTTGAATGAGTCCACACAAAGAATATTGCAAGAAATGGTTACAGTTTATTTGCAGCTCAGCAGTGGCTGAATTTTTTCCTAATCAGTTCATTTGTGGATGGCTAGCGTTCCAATTCAACTTGCTGTTTTAAAGCTGTGTATATTTCATACTTAACAAACTCCATCAAAGGGAATTTTGGAGTCCCGGTGTAGCACTGTAGGATAAACATTGGACTGAAAGATTGCTGGTTCAAATCCACCAGCCACTCCTCAGAAACCCTATACAGGCCGCTATGAATTGAAACTGACTTGATAGCACTTCATAACAACACAGCATGATTTCTAGGAGTCCTCCTGGTATGGCGCTGCAGGATAATGTGCTGGACCACAAGGCTAGTTTGAACCACAAAGTTGACGGCTGAAATCCACCAGCTGCTCCTTGGAAGCCCTACACAGGGTGGCTATGGTCAGAAACGACTCGATCGCACTTAACAACAACGACTGCCAAGTCTCTTTGGTTTCCTGGACTTTTCCTGGTGACTCTAGAATCACCATTCAGGCAATCATCTATACTTAGAGCATTTACTTCAGGCACTCTTCTTAGACCTGGAATTCAGCAGTGGATTGACCAGATGAGCACCCTCTGCAAGTTTCTGTGGGTCCTGTGATAGTTTCCCATCTTATTTTCCTAAGATGTCAAGGAACTTGATAAGTAAGCCATTGGCTTAATTTGAAAGCAAACTGTCATTAGGGGCACACGTTCTAACAGTGCATCATCCTAGCATCAGACCCGTAACCTGGCAACAGGAATGGGATATATTTTCTCAGTGATCACACATCTTGGCTTGCCTGAGATATTCCTGTCTACTGCCTGTTTCTTGGCATCAATCTTAATAGAATCTCCTCCTCTCAAAAACATCTGGCTTGAACAATAGCTTCTGTGACTACTCTAGTGGCCACTCACCACCCACCTCAGCTCCTGAATGGCAGAGTCATACTACAAGAGGTGGTCACACCAAGTTGTGGACTCATGTGCTTTCACATGGAGCTTGTGACACATGTGCAGGTGGATTGTCCTGCACTGTTCTCTGAGTCCCTGTACTTTTAGTGAGTCCCTGCTCAGAGTCTGTGGCACACTGGCTCCTGAATGGATGCCCACTCTCACAGTTGTGTGAGTCAGGGAGGGTGCTGGAGGGGTGGGGGTTGTTTACCCCAAAACAGCCTCCCATGCAGGGCCTGCAAGTCCCGGGGGGCATCTGGTCTGGACTCTCTCCCAGGATGTAGACAAAAGTGCTGACGGTTACTACATTTTCAGAAATGGGGTTGGTCATTTCTGGTTGAGTAACTTTGGAATCTTTTGCAGGATTAACTCGTGACTCCTAAGTCTGTTTATGATGATGCATTCTGGTTTATAATATGCTGGGCAAAATTTATTGCCAAGGCTGGAGACTGGGTGTGGTGCAGTGGGTTAATGTGCCAGACTGCAAAGCCATTTGAACTTTAAGGTTGGTGGTTCAAGCTTACCAGTCACTCATTGGAAACACTATATAGGGTCACTATGGGTCAGAACTGACTTGATGGCACTTAACAACAACAACATGTTAGTCTCCAGTTTTCATTACTCTAAACTGAGAAAGATAAAAAAATAAAAGTGCCAAAATCTGGAAAAGTTTACTCTTTGAACCCTGATTGCATTAACCACAAATATGGAATGTTCCAGGGAGAGACCTTCTTCTGGGACTGCCTCCAGGAATTAGCAGCAAAAAGAAAAGGTCTGAGTAGGGTGTGGATAGTTTGAACTATGAGGTCAGTGGTTCAAACCCACCAGTTGCTTCCAGAAATCTTATACAGCGTTGCTATGGGTTGGAACTGATTCGACGGCACTTAGCAACAACAACAGGGTGTGGATGAGTGCTTTCTCCAAGGGTGGTGCCTTGATGTGAAGGTGAGGTGGGAGGCCCTGGCCTGTGGAGGGCCCCTGTGTCAGGAGCAGATGCCTTCAGAGTCCAGAGGTGACACAGCTGGGACTGTTGACTTGTAAAGAACCTCCTCTGCCTCCTACCCCTCATCTCTGGAGCTTCCTCCCTCTCCCAGTTTCTTCTGTGGCATCCACTCAGAGTGAACTTCAGTATAAACAGCAAAGCTGAGACCACAGTTTTAGGAATCACTGGTAAAGGCAAAAAATGTTGGATTTAAGTTTGGGAGACAGAGCATTTCAAATTCAGTAGATTGTTTTTGGTATTAAAAACATTTTTAGTGTTTTCCTTTCTTATATTCAAGCTCTGGTAGCGTAGTGGTTACGAATCAGGCTGTGAACCGGATGGTCAGCAGTTCGAAACTACCAGCTGTTCTGCCGGAGAAAGATGAGGCTTTCTGCTCCCGTAAAGATTTACAGCGTTGGAAACCCTGTACAGGGTCACTATGAGTCGGAACCGACTCCATGGTACTTAACAACAACAAATATTCAAATTCATGCGTGAACATTTGCAAGCAACAACAACAAAACCAAACCATAGTTGTAAACAGAAAGAGTTAAAACCATCCTCAAAGCTACCATGCAATTTTAACAACTAATAACATATTGGCATTTTTGTTTCTATCTTCCTAATATTATTCCATATACAGTTTTTGGAACCAAAATTAGGATCATTCTGTAAATACAGTTTTGTGATCTGTGCTGTATATTTAACAATATGCATTAGAGATGCAGTTGTCATCAGTAGAGAAGAGAAAGTGACCATTGGTAATTACTCAAGGAGCACAGAATGTTTGAAAATTATTAACGCAACAAAATGTGTTTAAGGTGCCTACCAGGATGCCAGTATATAGTTTGCACTTGATAAACACTCTTCTCAGATAATTCTTACAACAACCTTATGCAACATGAAAAGACATAGAACATAGAACATTATTCTTTTTGAGAAAGATGACTTTTATAATCCAATGTTTAAAACTAGCTCTTTTGATATTTTAAACAAATGTACTGAATGAGAATCACTCTAGTCTGACTTTAAACCCCTGATACTCTCCATACCCTGAGATCATCAGAGCTTTCATTCAGGATGGAATCATTTCAGGGAGGGAGAGGCAAGAGGAGGCTTTTTTTTTTTAAAGATTTTTATTGTGAATTATGTGATCATTTACATGGGAGAACATTATCTTTACATTCATCTTATTGTGTTTTGTTTCATTGCAATGATTACAATCCCCTCCATGCATCAGCAAACAACCAAAGGGTATACCCCACAAGCCTGCCCCTTGGTCATCAGCATACAACCCCTTTCCCTCTCTGGGTCTAGAGTCTCCAGCCGCTCCATCTCTCCATGTCCTGCCTCCATCTCTGGCATCACTGTTTCTCCGGGTAGGGTCCCAGGGACCTCTACTCCTGGACTGCAAAATCAACCACTCCCCTCCCTTTGTTACAAAACATCTGCCTTTACATTTCCCATCCTCACAATCAGTCCTGATAGTAATTATTCACTATTATACTAAAAGAGTCTTATCCCCATCTCCTTTCATCAGTCCCGTCCCAACAGATTGGAAACCACTCAGTGGTGTTTCTACCTTCCCCCGCCTCCTCTGGTACTAGGCTCCCTCTTGAAAGCTTGTAAACCAGTCACTTCGTGCCTTTGTAGTCCCCCTACATTGGGTAGCCAATGTTTAAGTTGCCCATCTCTGTCAACCCTGTGTACCGGGGTGTGGGGTGGGAATGATCCTCGCTTTAAAGACTCGTTCCCTCTTTTGAGCTACTACATCCATAAGTATAGGTCAAGTTCATCAAATTGTAGTGGATTACTCTTTTTTTCCTTTTCTTTCTTCTAGTTGGGTTCTGATCATCCAGCCGTTGAAGCCAGGCCAAGTGGGTGCTATCTGCAAGTATGGGTGTTCTTGTGCATCTCCCCTCACTTCATATCAGCTAGATGCTTCACTATCTGCTCTAGTCCTCTGTGACCATGGCACTGTCTCTGAACCCAGAAGTACCTGGGTCTTGCCATACTGTTGGCCAACCAGGTCTCAACCTGGGTGCACAGGGGTCTATTGAACATGGTCGGACTTAGCTCACAACTTCATTGCTGTTTTCCCACACTTCACCTTATTGGTGACCAACGTGGTTACCAGCCAGACCACATGCCTGCTTGTGTATTTCCCTTGAATCTTAGTTTTGGAAGGGGATTTGCCCCAAGGGGACCCGATCACTTGCCTTGATGGCTCCCACGCAAACAGCTTGCTTGTTCTTGTGGTAGTTAATCAGACTGTCATTATTTAGTTTTTTTTTTTTCCCTGCTGG